TTGGTGTCTGATTCGACTCAAGGTTCGAAGGTTCAAGGTTTCAACAGGGGGTGGTTCGACGGTGCAAGGCTCGGAGGTGGTGGGTTTGCTTCTGGGTTCGCATGTTCAAGGTTCACACGGGTAAGTTTCAAGGTGCAAGGCTCGGAGGTGGGGGTTTCTTGAGTGACTCAAGGTTCGAAGGTTCAAGGTTCACAGGGGTAGTTGTGTCGAGGTGCAAGGCTCGGAGGTGGTGGTCTGGCTCTCTGGGTTTCGAAGGTCAAGGTTCACACGGTACGGTTCAAGGGCAAGGCAGGAGGTGGTTTGGTCTTGATTGACTCAAGGGTCGAAGGCTTCAAGGTTCACAGGTGGTTGGGTTCGAGGTGCAAGGGCTCGGAGGTGGTGGTCTGGCTCATGGGTTGCAGGTTTCAAGTGTTCACAAGGGGGTTAAGGTTCAAGGTGCAAGGCTCGGATCGTTGGGGGTCTTGATTGACTCAAGGTTCGAAGGTTCAAGGTTTCACCAGGGGGTGCGTTCGGAGGTGCAATGGCTCGGAGGTGGTGGTCTTGCTTCTGGGTTCGCAGGTTCAAGGTTCACACGGGTAAGGTTCAAGGTGCAAGGCTCGGAGGTGGTGGTCTTGATTGACTCAGGGTTCAGAGGTTCAAGGTCCACAGGGGTTACGGGTAAGGTTCAAGGCTCGGAGGTGGTGGTCTTGCGTCTGGGTTCGAAGGGTCAAGGTTCACACGGGTAAGGCTCAAGGTGCAAGGCTCGGAGGTGGTGGTCTTGATTGACTCAGGGTTCAGAGGTTCAAGGTCCACAGGGGTAAGCTTCAAGGTTCAAGGCTCGGAGGTGGTGGTCTTGCTTCAGGGTTCGAAGGTTCAAGGTTCACAGGGGTAAGGTTCAAGGTGCACGGCTCGGAGGTGGTGGTCTTGATTGACTCAAGGTTCGAAGGTTCAAGGTTCACAGGGGTAAGGTTCGAGGTGCAAGGCTCGGAGGTGGTGGTCTTGCTTCTGGGTTCGCAGGTTCAAGGTTCACACGGGTAAGGTTCAAGGTGCAAGGCTCGGAGGTGGTGGTCTTGATTGACTCAAGGTTCGAAGGTTCAAGGTTCACAGGGGTTGGTTCGAGGTGCAAGGCTCGGAGGTGGTGGTCTTGCTTCTGGGTTCGCAGGTTCAAGGTTCACACGGGTAAGGTTCAAGGTGCAAGGCTCGGAGGTGGTGGTCTTGATTGACTCAGGGTTCAGAGGTTCAAGGTCCACAGGGGTTACGGGTAAGGTTCAAGGCTCGGAGGTGGTGGTCTTGCGTCTGGGTTCGAAGGGTCAAGGTTCACACGGGTAAGGCTCAAGGTGCAAGGCTCGGAGGTGGTGGTCTTGATTGACTCAGGGTTCAGAGGTTCAAGGTCCACAGGGGTAAGCTTCAAGGTTCAAGGCTCGGAGGTGGTGGTCTTGCTTCAGGGTTCGAAGGTTCAAGGTTCACAGGGGTAAGGTTCAAGGTGCACGGCTCGGAGGTGGTGGTCTTGATTGACTCAAGGTTCGAAGGTTCAAGGTTCACAGGGGTAAGGTTCGAGGTGCAAGGCTCGGAGGTGGTGGTCTTGCTTCTGGGTTCGCAGGTTCAAGGTTCACACGGGTAAGGTTCAAGGTGCAAGGCTCGGAGGTGGTGGTCTTGATTGACTCAGGGTTCAGAGGTTCAAGGTCCACAGGGGTAAGGTTCAAGGTTCAAGGCTCGGAGGTGGTGGTCTTGCTTCTGGGTTCGAAGGTTCAAGGTTCACACGGGTAAGGCTCAAGGTGCAAGGCTCGGAGGTGGTGGTCTTGATTGACTCAGGGTTCAGAGGTTCAAGGTCCACAGGGGTAAAGTTCAAGGTTCAAGGCTCGGAGGTGGTGGTCTTGCTTCAGGGTTCGAAGGTTCAAGGTTCACACGGGTAAGGCTCAAGGTGCAAGGCTCGGAGGTGGTGGTCTTGATTGACTCAGGGTTCGAAGGTTCAAGGTCCACAGGGGTAAGGTTCAAGGTTCAAGGTTCGGAGGTGGTGGTCTTGCTTCAGGGTTCGAAGGTTCAAGGTTCAAGGGTTGGTGGGTCAAGGTTCAGAGGTTCAAGGTCAAGGTTTCGGAAGGCTTCAGGGTTCGAAGGTTCAAGGGGTAAGGCTCAAGGTGCAAGGCTCGGGGTGGTGGTCTTGATTGACTCAGGTTCGAAGGTTCAAGGTCAGGGGTAAGGTTCAAGGTTCAAGGTTCGGAGGTGGTGGTCTTGCTTCAGGGTTCGAAGGTTCAAGGTTCACAAGGGTAAGGTTCAAGGTGAAAGGCTCGGAGGTGGTGGTCTTGATTGGCTCAAGGTTCGAAGGTTCAAGCTTCACAGGGGTTGGTTCGAGGTGCAAGGTTCGGAGGTGGTGGTCTTGCTTCTGGGTTCGAAGGTTCAAGGTCCACAGGGGTACGGTTCAAGGTTCAAGGTTCGGAGGTGGTGGTCTTGATTGACTCAGGGTTCAGAGGTTCAAGGTCCACAGGGGTAAAGTTCAAGGTTCAAGGCTCGGAGGTGGTGGTCTTGCTTCAGGGTTCGAAGGTTCAAGGTTCACACGGGTAAGGCTCAAGGTGCAAGGCTCGGAGGTGGTGGTCTTGATTGACCCAGGGTTCGAAGGTTCAAGGTCCACAGGGGTAAGGTTCAAGGTTCAAGGTTCGGAGGTGGTGGTCTTGCTTCAGGGTTCGAAGGTTCAAGGTTCACAAGGGTAAGGCTCAAGGTGAAAGGCTCGGAGGTGGTGGTCTTGATTGGCTCAAGGTTCGAAGGTTCAAGCTTCACAGGGGTTGGTTCGAGGTGCAAGGTTCGGAGGTGGTGGTCTTGCTTCTGGGTTCGAAGGTTCAAGGTCCACAGGGGTACGGTTCAAGGTTCAAGGTTCGGAGGTGGTGGTCTTGATTCAGGGTTCAAGGCTTCAAGGTTCACAGGGGTAAAGTTCAAGGTTCAAGGCTTGGAGGTGGTGGTCTTGCTTCAGGGTTCGAAGGGTCAAGGTTCACAAGGGTGAGGTTCAAGGTTCAAGGTTCGAAGGTGGTGGTCTTGTTTCAGGGTTCGAAGGGTCAAGGTTCACAAGGTAAGGTTCGAGGTGCAATGTTCGGAGGTGGTGGTCTTGCTTCCAGGTTCGAAGGTTCAAGGTCTGCAGGGGTTGGTTCGAGGTGCAAGGCTCGGAGGTGGTGGTCTTGCTTCCAGATTTGAAGGTTCAAGGTCCACAGGGGTTGATTCGAGGTGCAAGGTTCGGAGGTGGTGGTCTTGCTTCAGGGTTCGCAGGTTCAAAGTTCAAACGGGTAAGGTTCAAGGTGCAAGGCTCGGAGGTGGTGGTCTTGCTTCAGGGTTCGAAGGTTCAAGGTTCACAGGGGTTGGTTCGAGGTGCAAGGCTCGGAGGTGGTGGTCTTGCTTCAGGGTTCGAAGGTTGAAGGTTCACAGGGGTAAGGTGCAAGGTTCAAGGCTCGGAGGTGGTGGTCTTGATTCAGGGTTCAGAGGTTCAAGGTCCACAGGGGTAAGGTTCAAGGTTCAAGGCTCGGAGGTGGTGGTCTTGCTTCAGGGTTCGAAGGTTCAAGGTTCACAGAGGTACGGTTCAAGGTTCAAGGTTCGGAGGTGGTGGTCTTGCTTCAGGGTTCAAAGGTTCAAGGTCCACAGGGGTAAGGTTCAAGGTTCAAGGCTCGGAGGTGGTGGTCTTGCTTCCAGGTTCGAAGGTTCAAGGTCCACAGGGGTAAGGTTCAAGGTTCAAGACCTGGGGGTGGTGGTCTTGATTGACTCAAGGCTCGAAGGTTCAAGGTTCACAGGGGTTGGTTTGAGGTGCAAGGTTCGGAGGTGGTGGTCTTGCTTCCAGGTTCGAAGGTTCAAGGTTCACAGGGGTAGGGTTCAAGGGTCAAGGTTCGGAGGTGGTGGTCTTGATTCAGGGTTCAAAGGTTCAAGGTCCACAGGGGTAAGGTTCAAGGTTCAAGGTTCGGAGGTGGTGGTCTTGCTTCCAGGTTCGAAGGTTCAAGGTTCACAGGGGTATGGTTCAAGGTTCAAGGCTCAGAGGTGGTGGTCTTGCTTCATGGTTCAGAGGTTCAAGGTCCACAGGGGTAAGGTTCGAGGTTCAAGGTTCGGAGGTGGTGGTCTTGCTTCCAGGTTTGAAGGTTCAAGGTTTACAGGGCTTGGTGCAAGGTTCAAGGTTCCTGGTTCAGAGGTGGCGGTCCTGGTCCAATGTGTACAGGAACAAGGTTCAAGTTCTACAGGGGTTGGTTCAATGTTTAAGGTTCAAGGTTCAAAGGTGGTGGCTCTGGTTCAAGGCTCACATATTCAAGGTTTACAGGGGTTGGTTCGAGGTGCAAGGTTCGGAGGTGGTGGTCCTGGTTGAAGATTCACAGGTCACAGGTTCAATGTTCCAGGTTCAGAGGTGGTGGTCCTGGTTCAAGGTTCACAGGTCGCAGGTTCAAGGTTTGCAGGGGTTGCCAGACGTGGTCCTGGTTCAAGGTTCAGAGGCCTCCCAGATGGGGTCCGAGTAGATGGGGTCGAGGGAGCGCGCCGCACTGGCGACGCATCGGCGACACATCGCCGATGCATCGGCGTTGCATCGGCGACGCCGGCGAGGCATCGGCGCCATCGGTGTGGAGAACATCGGGCTCCACATCGAGCCGCATCGCCGATGCGGCGCGCTCCCTCGACCCCATCTACTCGGATCCCATCTGGGAGGTCTCATTACAGCCATTTGAAAGCCCCTTGAGCCCTCTGGGCCTCATGGGGGGTGCTTTGTGGGGGCCACCCGGGCGACGCAGGAAAGCGGGGTTTCGACCGCGCGGACATCCGCGCGTCAGCTTCCCGCGGGAGGTCGCCCACGAGGTCGCGCGAAGTCGCGCTTTCTTCTTCTCCACGCGGTGTGCCACGGTGGCGGCCCGTGCATGCCGCGCGAAAGGGCGCCATGTCCTCTTGCGTGAGGCCCGATTCTTTTCGTCGCTCACCTTAGCCTTCCTGGAGATCCTGGGGCCACCTTGGGCCAAGAACGCCTCTGGCAACAGCCGTCGCAAGCGGCTCCCCCCTCTCCCTAGGCCCACCTTCGGACCGCCAGCTGTATCGCTGCGTCCGTGGCCGCGTCCACGGCCGCGGTGGCCTCGTCGAGCAGGACGAGCCTGGGGCACGGGATCCATCTTCCCTGAGATCGGGGCATTGCGATTTTCGAGAGAGCGTGATCCACCGCCGCTTTGCTGTGGAGAATTCCCTCCCTCTTCCTCCGAAACCCGGGGATCCCCTGCCCCTCCGACAATCCCCCCCCCTCTGCTCGAAACCCCAAATCCTCCCCCCAAACCCTCCGGCAAAACCCCCCCCAAACCCTCCCCCCCCCCTCCCAGAAAACCGGGGGGGTCACTACCGGTTCGAACCCCCCCCCCGCCCTCCCTGGCAAACCAGGGGAGGGTTCACTGCCGGTTCGAACCCCCTCACCCCCCCCCACAGTCGCCGCCGGCAAACGACTGTCCCACTGTGCCCCCGCCACCGTCGCACTGTCCCCACTGTCCCCACTGTCCCCGCAACTGTTCCCACCACGGTCCCACTTTCCCCTCTGTCCCCACTGTCTCTACCACTGTCCCGCTGTCCCCACTGTCCCCACCACTGTCCCACTGTCCCCACTGTCCCCACCGCTGTCCACACCGCTGTCCCCACTGTTCCTGTCCCACTGTGCCCACCACTGTCCCCACTGTACCACTGTCCCTTTGTCCCACAACCGTCCCTACCACCGCCCTCAGCACTGTCCCCACCACCACCGTCCCCACCACTGTCCCACTGTCCCCTCGCCACTGTCCCCACCACCACCGTCCCCACCACTGTCCCACTGTCCCCACTGCCCCCACCACTGTCCCACTGTTCCCACCACTGTTCCCACCACTGTCCCACTGTCCCCACCAGTGCCAGCACCACTGTCGCACTGTCCCCACCACTGTCCCCACCACGGTCCCACTGTCCCCACTGTCCCCACTGTCCCCACTGTCCACACCACTGTCCCACTGTCCCCACTGTCCCCGCGACTGTCCCACTGTCCCCACTGTCCCCACCGCTGTACCACTGTGCTGTCTCACTTTCCCCACTGTTCCCACCACTGTCCCACTGTCCCCACCGCTGTCCCCACTGTACCACTGTCGAGGAGGCATGCATAATACAAGGTATGTGTTCAAATTGACTGCTGCTGAGGCTCCCCTGGACGTTGCCATCTCGCCCCGCTGGAGGAGGAGGAAGAGGAGGAGGATGAATAACAAAGACGACGATGCTTTAGGTTACTGTGGGGTCCGACACACGTGGGGCTTGCAGTAAACGGGAAGTTCGCGAAGCAACTCACGTAGCCGACACCAACTGCCCACAACAGACTTCGTACCACCCCCTTTCCCTTTCCCTATCCCCTCCCCTTTCGTCCGACTCGAGAGGAGGAGGAGGAGGAGGAGGAGGAGGAGGAGGAGGAGGAGGAGGAGGAGGAGGAGGAGGAGGAGGAGGAGGAGGAGGAGGAGGAGGAGGAGGAGGAGGAGGAGGGACGAGGAGAAGGAGAAGGAGGAGGAGGAGGAGGAGGAGGAGGAGGAGGAGGAGGAGGAGGAGGAGGAGGAGGAGGAGTGGGAGGAGGAGAGGAGGATGAGGAGGAGGACTATAGGGCATGCGACAACGAATGTCGAGACTGTGCGTCGTGAAGCACGGGCGTCCCGAAGCCTCGCCGTCTTGAGACAAGGGTGTCCCGAAGCCTCGCCGTCGTGAAGCACGGGCGTCCCAAAGCCTCGCCGTCACGAAGCAAGGGTGTCCTCCAGCCTCGCCGTTGCGAAGCAAGCGTGCCCCAAAGCCTCGCCGTCGCGGGAGTGGTGAGCCGCGCACAACCGTAGACAACGAATAAGGAGGAGGAGGAAGAGGAGGAGGAGGAGGAGGAGGAGGAGGAGGAGGAGGAGGAAGAGGAGGAGGAGGAGGAGGAGGAGGAGGAGGGACGACGACGAGACTCTAGGCTATTCACATGCGCTCCGCGCTCAGCACCCGCCGCCGCGAGAGGCGCGCCCACCGCCGCGCTCCCCCCGGAGGGGGGCAGCTCGCTGGCCGGGGCGCCGCACGGCCTCGGCCCCGCGGGGGGACCCCGCACTTCTGCCGCTTCCCTCGGGGGCGATGCTGGGTGCCCAGAGATCCAACGTATTGAAAAAATCAAGACGGAGGTTTTTCTTATTTTTCGGCCTCGAGGGGCCCTCGCCGGGCCCTGGGACCGTCAAACAACGACTCGGGATGAGAAACCGGTCCCGGGGAATGGGTCGAGACTTCCAGGGACCCGTATTGAAAAAATCACGACATCGGATTTCTGCCGCACTTCTGCCGCTTCCCTCGGCCTCAGAAACCTCCCAGACGGCCCAGGAAGCCTCCAAGAGCATCCCACAGAGGGGCCCAAGACGCCGAAACTGACGAATTCCTATGGGAAAACCTACATTTTTACTGTGCACTTTTTTCGCCCTTCACGGCGTTGAAGACGGCCCCAGAATCCCCCAAGACTGCCCCAAAACGGCCCGACAGGTTGTCAGAGGCTGGGTGCGACTAGCCCAGGGGAGAGCACTACATTCGGCTACGCGCAAGAGGGACCACGACCTGGAAGCAAAACGGCCGCCGAGCCATGAACTTTCGGAGCTCCGCCGGTCCAAGAGATCCGCGCGGGGTTCCGGAAGGTTCGGTCTACATCGTCGCTCGTCGCTCGGCTACACTAGACGAGCGCGTTCCACTACTCGCAAGGTAACTACTGCAAATGGCCTGGATCCGCCGCGGGGGATTTACCATATATGACATCAAGGAAGACCCGTTTTTTGCACGGACGTTTGCGAGTAGGCACCTTGCGAGTAGTGAGACGCGTTCGGCGACTCACGCAAGAGTGACCCTGGGTAAGAATGACCTTTGGTGCGCGTCTTTTGGGGGGCCTGGGAGGGGGGCCAAACACAAGCGCGCAAAACGCTACTACCGCATCGCGTTAGGCGATCGGGGACGTCGCTGGGCCCGCATCATAGGTCTCTCCGGCAAAAGGTCACTCTTACGTGTAGTTGACCTTCGCCCCGCGGGAGACCCTGCACTTCTGCAGCTCGCCTCGGGGGGAATGATGGGGGAGAATCGCCAAGGGGAGAGCAAGCATTACAAGGGGTTAGGAGGCAACTGCTGGGAGGTCTTCGTCGGAAAGATTTATAGAGAATTGAGCCTCATTGGGGGGCTACTACGCCGGATCAGGTCGTGGATACAACGGGGTTAAGCCAAATCAAGCGGGATTAGCTCGATCTAAGCCGGATTTGGGACCAGATTTTGATCTCCCAGGAACGGCATTCGAAATGGGGGTTCCAGAAACTCTGAACCCCCCAAAATTGCATCTCTTGAGGGCGCATTTTTGACTTCCGCCGGCTTCCGCCGGTCTTCCGCCAGCTTCCGCTGGCGGAGGCGGCCTCGTGTTACTCCCGCGGGCTTCGCCTCCCTTCCGCTGCCTTCTGCCGAGGAAGAGATGACAACTCCCTCGGCCCCCCCAAGGGAGGTCCTCTCTGAAACGCCTCACATGTATCCATAGAAGCATGGGGTCCGAGCGGATGGGGTCGAAGGATCGCGACGCATCGCCAATGCGTCGCCGATGTATCGGCGATGCATCGGCGACGTCGGCGTGGGGAAACACGGTCTCCACATCGAGCCGCATCGCCGGTGCGTCGGCGATGCGGCGGGATCCTCCGACCCCATCTCTTCGGACCCCATCCGGGAGGCCCAGAACCCAGTGGCGCCGAGGATCCCTGCCCTCGGCGAGGCTCCTCGGCGAATGCGTGTGATGCCCGCCCTCGGGCTATCCGCCCCGGCCGTCGCCTCCAACTCTCACAGGGCGGCGTCCGCGATCATCCAGGCGCACGCGGCCGAGAAGCCCTCGGCCCCGTCCGGGGCCGGGCCCGGCGGGGCCCGCCACCGCACGCCGCCCGCCCCGATGCCGTCCGCCGAGGAAGAAAAGACGGCACGAGCAGCACCGCTCGGAGGTCCGCGCCGACTTCTCGGGTCTGCGCTGAAGTCGGGCGCGTCCCCCTACAGGGGGATGTTCGACGAAAAATCAAACATACCCCAAGAATGCCCCAAAAAGGTAGAAAAATACGAAACAAATATTTGGCTTATTTTTGGGGTACTTTGCATTTCTTGTCGAACATCCCCCTGTAGGGGGACAGGCCCGACTTAAGTCTGCGCTGACCCCATGGGCCCCCCTCCCCTGGCGCGTGGAGCGCGCCGGGGGGCGCAGCGCAGATCCAAGCAACGCGCGCGGACCTCCGACCGGGGGAAAGACAGGGACATCGATACCGCTGCTCGCTGGGCCTGCACGACGAGGGCTCTCCCAGACGAGAAGGGGCATCGATACCACCAGGACCCCCAGCGTCGCATTTTTTTCAAGCATCCTGTGGAGTTAGGTCCTCGTCTTGAAGAGGCAGCGCCCCGCGTCACCTCCCGCTCTTCTCCCCCTCCTCTCTCCTTCCCCTCCTCGCCTCTACCCTCCGCATGCCTGCGTTTCGGCACACCCCTCGCACGTTTCGCGGCCCCACAGGGAGCTCCACCGAAGGCGCCTGTGGGAGGGTTCGCATGGCACCGCCGCCACATGTCGGCACACCCCTCACACGCTTCGTGGCCCCCACAGGGAGCTCCACGTGAGGCCCCAGTGGGAGGGTTCGCATGGCACCGCCGCCCCATGTCGGCACACCCCTCACACGTTTCGCGGCCCCACAAGGAGCTCCACCTAAGGCCCCAGTGGGAGGGTTCGCATGGCACCGAAGCCCAATTTCCGCACACGTCTCACTCGCACTGCGGCCCCGCCCCATCTCGGCACACCCTTCACACGCTTCGTGGCCCCATGAGGAGATCCACCGAAGGCGAAATTCACAACGACGGTACTCACAACTGCATATGGTTGGGTCTTTCGCCAAGACACTTTCATAACGCGTACCCCCAGGGGTCTCGACCCATTCCCAAGTACGCCTTTTTATCCTGAGTCGTTTTTCGACGGTCCTGGGGCCGATGCTGAAAATCGCACAAACCCTCCGTCGTGTTTTTTTGTCACGACGCCACGGGGTCTGGGTCGCTTCCTTGGAAGAAGAAACAACACTGCATAAACATACACTTTCCGAGGCCCGAACGGAGCTCAAAGCGTTGCTGCTGATGCAGACCGTTCTTCTTCGATTCCCCCCGTGGCGAAAACACTCTGTGCGCACTCGCCGTCTTTTGCTCTCCGAGTCCAGGCGCTCGGCGTCTGCCGGGTCGTACCGCAGCAGCTCGGCGTACTGGAGCAGCAAGCGGAAGAGGTAACACTCTGCAGGCCCGGCCTCCGCACCGCTCGCTGCTCGCCAGGCGGCGCGTGGGAGGAGGCGGCAGGGCTCCCGCAGCAGCAGCGGACTGCACGCGAAGTCTTCGGGGATGCATCGGCGACATCGGCGATGCATCGGCGACGTCGACGTGAAGCAAATCGGGCCCCACATCGAGCCGCATCGGCGATGCATCGGCGATGCGGCGCGATTCTCCGACCACATCTACTCCGACCCCATCTGGGAGGCCTAGAGCCACGACGCGGCCCGAAGGACCGGCTTCGGCCGCTGGGGCTCTCGCCGGGCCCCGGGGCCGGCCAGAAGCGGCTCGGGAGGAGAAGCTGGCCCTGGGGAAGGGGTCGGGACTTCAGGGGCCTCGTGCTGGGAATGCCAAGACGTTGGGGTTCTGGGACTGTGGATCCTCCTTGGAGGCTTTCGGGCGCCAACGGCGCTCTCACACCAGTTGCCCCGCGTCCTACAGAGCCCTCCAGGGGTGCCCGGCAGCGTCCCAGGCAGCCACTCCGAGGCCGAGCCCTGGCCCGAGGACAAAGCAGGGGAGGGGGCAGGCCAGTATATCCCCAGGGCGCTCAACTTGAAGGTGCCCTGGGACGCATGACTGAACGTGCACAATTCACAGGACTCCCCACATTTTTCCAGGCATTCATTCTATGGTGTTGGGTCCTCGCATTGAAGAGACAGCGCCCCGCGTCCCTCCTCCTCCTCCTCCTCCTCCTCCTCATTCCTCCTCCTCCTCCTCCTCCTCCGCCTCCTCCTCATTCCTCCTCCTCCTCATTCCTCCTCCTCCTCCTCCTCCTCCTCCTCGCCCCTCCTCTTCCTCCTCCTCCTCCTCCTCATTCCTCCTCCTCCTCGCCCCTCCTCCCATCCCTGCCTCGGCCCTCTGCACCCAGTGCGGCGTTTCGTGGCCCATGGGAGCTCTACCGAAGGTCCAAATGGCTGTGATCGCATGCGCCCCGTGCCACCCAGTACGGCGTTCCGTGGCCCCGCAGGGAGCTCCACCGAAAGCCCCAATGGCTGTGATCGTATGCGCCCCGCGCCACCCAATACGGCGCTTCGTGGCCCCATTGGCTGTGATCACGTGCGTCCCGCGACACCCAATGCGGCGGATCGTGGCCCCATAGGGAGCTCCACCGAAGGCCCCGGCTTTGATCACACGCGCCCCGCGCCTCCCAGAACGGCGTTTCACAGCACCCCTCACGAGGCCCCGACGGCCCCGCGGAGGCTCCGAAATGGAGCGAAACGCTGAGAACACTTCTGGCCCCAGAGCCCCGAAGTTATAACTCTTTTTTTGATGTTCCCCCCCAGGGGTCTCGACCCATTCCCCAGGACTGTTTTTTTATCCTGAATCGTTCTTTGACGGTCCCGAGGCCTGGCAGGGGCCCCCAGAAGCCGAAAATAGCCCAACCCCCCCCGACGTGTCCTTTTCATGACCCAAAGGGGTCTGGGGCCCAGACGCACCTTCAACAACACCCGCTCGGACCCCACCTGGGCGGCCTGCACAGAGGCCTCCTAGATGAGGTCCGAGTAGATGGGGTCGGAGGATCGCGCCAGATCGCCGATCGATGCATCGGCGATGCATCGGCGATGCACTGGCGATGCAACGTCGGCGATGCACCCGCGACGTCGACGTGAAGCAAATCGGGCTGCACATCGAGCAGCTTCGGCGATGCCTCGGCGATGCGGCGCGATCCTCCGACCCCCTCCAGGAGGCATACAGTCGGACTCGATTGGACAGGACACGCGAGAGGACACAAGACCCTTCTGAGGGCCACATCGCCATAGGAGTGTGAGAAGGCACGCGTCGCGAGGCACAGGACACAACGGTACCCTTGAGCTGGCAGGATCGACCTACTAACCCAGACCCCCGACGTCATGATTTTTTCATGACGTCGACCCCCCGAGGTCTCGACCCATTTCCCGGGACCGGTTTTTCGTCCTGAGTCGGTTTTTGACGGTCCCCAGGGCCGGTAAGGGCCCCCAAAAGCCAAAAATAATGAGAAACCTCCCGTCGTGATTTTTTCATAACTCGAGGGGGTCTGGGAATCAGTGCCGACTGTAGACTGCACCGCCCCCCCTCCTCCTGGCGCGCCGCCGAGCTTCTCCGGGCACCAGCAGGCGGCCGCCGCCCTCCTCGCCCGCCTCGGCCTCCCAGCCCGGCCGGCACCCCCCCGCGGCGGGGGCGCACGCCGCGGGGAGCGGCACGTCCCAGGCGGCGGCCGCCCCGCAGAGGCTGAAGATCGGCACCGGGGCCGCGCCCTGCGCCCGCCGCTGCAGGGGCGCGCCGGCGAGGCCGACGACGAGGTCGAGGGCTCGGAGGCCTGCCGCAGGCGCCCCCAGCCCGAGGCGGGCCCCCACCCAGCGGGCCCCCGGGAGGGCCCGGATCGTGACCTCCAGTGGGCGCGCCTCGCGAGGCCCAGGGCGTGCGAAGCCGAGCATCCGGCGTGAGCGACGATCAAAAACGGGTCTTGCGCGAGGTGGCACGGCGACCCTGCGCGGCGGCTTACGCGGGCCGCCAGCGCGGCCCGCGACGTTGGAGACGAGGGCGCTGACGCGCGACCTTACGCGGGCAGCTTCCGCGCCATTGTCAGTGCAGACGACCTCGTTTTGTTGCGACGCTCACGTGGGCTTGTTCATCAGCGCGCGGCCCCAAGAGGTCCCGGCCGCTTCCTCCTCCTCCTCCTCTTGCCCTGGGGTTAGACCTCCGTCACAGATCCGTGTTTGATGGCCCTGGAACCTGGCAGTGGGCCCCAGAGGCAGAGACTGGAGAGCAGAAATCCCTTTCCCCATAAGAAGCACCCCGACAAGCGAAGCCGTTCAGTAAGCGCACCCAAGGCAGGGATCGAACGGGGCAGGGCTCTTCAGTGGAGGCCCAGGGCCGTTTCGTAAACGCCACTTGTCCGGGTCGGGGCGGCTTCTCCTCCCTTGCGAGGCCGAGGAAAAGCGCCCGGAGCGAGCCAAAAAAGCGCGCCACCTCGCCGGAGACCTGGGAAGCCAGGGGGCCGCCTCGGCCAGAGCCACCGTTGGCAGCCTCCGAGGCAGCGGGGGACCCTGCCCAGGCTGGCCACTCTGAGGATGGAGTCGGCCAGGCAGCCCACGGCGCGCGCCGCGGCCTCGGCCGCGGCGCCTCCGTCCCAAGGCGGCATCGGCACCATGGCCAGCAGCTCCCCGCCCAGGAAGCGGAAGAGCGCCGCGCCGCGCCCTGCGGCCGCGGCCACCTCCAGTGCCTGCAGGGTGTCCTGCAGGGTGACCCCTGCCCGGCGCCACGGGGACAGCCCCGCGCCCAGCGGCGCGAAGGCGTTGCAGCGCCCCGACGGCGTCCTGGAATAGCTGCTGGGGCAGACCTCGCCCCCGGGGCCTGGGGGGGCCTCCATCATGTGGCGGGTGTAGTCGACTCTGGGCCGAGAAGACCCCGCCGCTCCCTGGGGCCGCAGGTCCGAGTACAGTGCGCCAGAGTCTATGAGGAAGGCCTGGTAAGGTTCGGTGGCAACTCATGGGAGCCTCCCATGCCATCTTGTCCGCTCTTGCGAATCGACGCTGGTCGACGCTAAATCGACTCTAATCTATGCAACATCGACGCCAATCGACGCTAAATCGGCGCATCTCGGCGACCCTCAGATGCTAATCGACGCTAGGGACGGAATTGAAAGGGTATACCAGGCTCCCATGATTTGCTGCCGAAGTAAGTGCTGGCGACGTCGTCGAGCACGTCCAGCAGCGCGTGACCGCTGCCGAGCACGCCGGCAAGCTCCAGCGGGCTCACCAGCGGCTCCGCCAGCGCCAGCAGCTCCTCGGTTTAGGTCGGGCATGTCCCCCTCCAGGTGGATTTTCAAAGAGAAAATCATCAAACAACATCCAAGAGTAGTCAAACATACTAGTCAAAATCGTCCCCATACTATTTTCTGACTACTTATGAGTACGGTGTGGGCATTGGATAAGGAACCCTTCGATAAGGAACCCAGGGTCTGGAGGCCAGCGGAACTCCAATCGTGGATCGGCCACGGATACCACCGCCGCACCCGTTGGATCAGGAACCCTCCAGGGCCTGGCGCCTCCTGGGACTACTCCTCAACGAACGCCCCCACCGCATTCCTCCTGCAGAGGGACCTGCCCGAGTGAGTCCTCGGTGCCCGCGTCGTACACGGGGAAGCGGCTCCAGGCCGGCACGAGGAGCGCGGCCGCCTCCGAGAGGGGGCAGCCGCCGCCCCCGCGGCCCCGGCCCAGCAGGTGCTCCACGCTGGCGGCGAGCAGGCTCTCGCCCTCGCCGGCGCGCCGCAGGCGCACGTGGCGCGCGAGCAGCGCGGCGAACGGGTCCTGCCCGTCGTCCTCGCGAGAGGAGGATCGAGCCCAGAGATCCAACGCATTGAAACAAGCAAGGCGGAGGTCCTTCGTATGTTTCGGCCTCTGGGGGCCCTCGCCGGGCCTCGCCGAGCGTCAACAAAACGACTCAGGATGAAGAACCGGTGCTGGGGAATGTGTCGAGACTTCCGGGGACCCCGTATTGAAACAATCACGACGTCGGAATCTCTGGGAGTGAGGCAGGAACGGGAAGATTCGAAGGGAGGAGGGAAGATAAGCAATAGAGGAGGTACACTTCCCATGTGGGCACTGTGGTGAAGTTGCCGTGTACATCAGTCAAGCATCACATGCCCGCCGTCCTCGCATCCCGGCGCCGAGCCCGCCTCGGCCCCGCCGCCCGCCCGCCGCGCAAGCGCCAGCAGCCGCAGCAGCCGGAACACGG